ACCCACGCTCTCCACATTTGACGAGCTCCCCGCCTGCCGGGACACAGCCCAGAGCAGCCCCCGGCGCTGGGAATCACCTTTTCAACCACATCAGCGCCAGCGTCGCGCCCGTCTTGGGCCAGGCTGAGCCGTGCATCTCCTTCTCCACCTCCAGGATGTTCTGCAGCGTTTTGAACTTGGTGGGGTTGGAGTCGTAAACTGCCCGGATTTTCTGCGAGGGCAGAGAAAGGGGGGTTGGCTCCCGGGAGCCGCCGGGCAGAACGGCAGCGGGATGGTGCTCACGGCTGTGGCATGGGGAGACGCGGTGCCTGCAGCGAGCACCCCGGCTGCTAAACACTGCTTTCAAAAGGGAAATTTATTAATAAACACACCAAGATGAGCTGCCACCAAGCCCGAAAGACCCCATGGGAAGAAAAGACCTTTTTAAACACCTCCAGGTCTTGCCTCTGCACTCCCACAGCATCTCTGCCCAGGGATTCACCCCCCCGAGCCCTCCTGCACCCCTTCCTACCTTGATATTTCCAGTCAGGTCCGCTTTGACCGGCGAGTAGACGATGGGAGTCCCCAGGCAATCTGTGGGAACACAGAGGGGGGACGATTACGCATTAGGGGACTGGGGTGGGTTGACCTTGGCTGGATGCCAGGTGCCACCAAGCCACTCTATCGCTCCCCTCTTCAGCAGGGCAGGCGGGGAGAGAATGAGATGGAAAAGAAAGAAAACTCATGGGTCAAGATGAAGGGGGTTTAATAAAAAAAAAAAAAGCAAAAGCAAAAGCTGCGCATGGTAGCAAAAGGTAAACAAGATTTTACTCTCTACTTCCCATTAGTAGGGGATGTCCAGCCACTTCCCAGGAAGCAGGGTGTCAGTACACATAGTTGTTCCTCCAGAAGACAAAATGTCGTAGAAGACAAATGCCCCCCCCTCCTCTTCCTTTTCCCTTAGTTGTTATATCTGAGCTGACATCATATGGCACAGAATACCCTGTTGTTTGGCTTGGGTCAGGTGTCTTGGCTACGTCCCCTCCCAAGACCTTGTCCCCTTCCAGCCCACCGGTGGGGATGGGGGGGGAAATGTTGGAGACACAGCCTTGACGCTGTCCGAGCGCTGCTCAGCAGCAGCCAAAACATTGGGGTGTGATCAGCCCCTTCCTACACACCGACAGAAAGCCCAGCGCTGTGCAGCTTGACCCAATACAGAGCCACAGGAGACTCTGCGAACTCCCGGGTCGCAGCCAACAGGTTTCACCTTAACACAGCCCCCGGACCCAGACGCCGCCCAGCGAAGCCCGGA